GAAAATGTTCCCAAAAACTCTTTTTTTTTTGCCAAAAAATCAATTTTGGGCAATTTTTTTAGTTTCAATAGTAGGGTTTATTTTGTTATGTAATTCGTGTTATGGAAAATTTAATTTAGGTGTATGCAAAATGTAATTTGTTGAGGAAAATCCAAATGTAACTCGCGCATAGGAAGATGTAAATCACACATAAAAAGATATAACTCACACATAAGAAGTATATTATACAACTTTGGTGTAACTTCATATACAACCAAATATAACTGGATGATTGGAAATAAACAACTCAATGTCTTAAAACTCTCTAAAAAGATATAAATGAGATTAAATATACAAGTATATTATAAGTGTATGAATAAAAAAATTACAAAGATAAAAATAGTGTATGAATATGAAATGCAACACACTTTTCATTTAAATTAATAAATTTTTTATTATGAATTTATACAAAAATAGATTGGGTGATAATTTAGGTTGAAGATAAAGTAAATTAAAGTAATACAAATAAATTTTTAGAATTTTGATGGAGGAGGAGAAAAGAATTGAAGAAAAGGAAAATAAAGCAGAAGAAAAAGCAAACGAAAAGGATGTAACTCGCGCATAAGAAGATGTTACTCGCTTATAAAAAGATGTAACTCCTACACATGAAAAATGTAAATTTTTCATAAGAAGATGTAATTTCCTGTTTGATAAATGTAAATCGAAATAAACAAATTTAATGTCTTAGAAAACACTAAAACTTTTAAAAGAAGTAAAGGAATATATTATAGTAATTAAAATGTAATTGTGATCTTGTGGAAACATAAAGTAAATTTAGTTTGTTGTCACACACCACGTGTGTTCAACCTAGAGTCAATGAACCACAATTTCATTTCTTTGTAATTACTGGTGGGCGACAATTGAGTGATGAAGTAGTGTGTGCGTGGGAACGAGCGAAGGGTGATGAAGTAAAAACGACGATTGCAGACTTGCAGTGACAGAGAAGAATCAATAGGAGGGTGCGACCTTGTTTTTATTTATTGAAACGACGTCGTATTGGGACCGGTATACCATGCAGAAGTTATACTGATCCCACGGTATAATTTGTGCTATAACACGGATGCACAGGAGAGCTCCCCAAACAACCAAGTTCTTAATAATTAAATAAAGGAACATTGTGCCATACAACTTCTGGCATTCAAATCCATTGCATTACTAAGAAATTTTAAAACAGTACACATTGTTCCAAGCTTACATCCTCAAATACACACTACCTACTAAAGCACGAAGTACAATCATAGTAAACCCATACAACTTCCTACTCTGTTTGTTGACCTTCGCCTCATTGTCAACAACAGTTTTGACTTAACCAACATCACTTGTACTAGCGAAATCTTTAGGACAAGTCCTTCGACCATTTTTTTCAAATCATCTGCACTTTCGCTCTTCGCTTCAGCCCTGCCATATTCTTCTTTTCTTCAGCCCTCACAATGTGTCGTATGCCTACATCTTCCTTCCATATGAAAAACTGCAACTCCCAACCTGTACACATTAACATGTTAATGGAAATTTTCCAAATCATTAAAATATATAACGTATACAATAAATGAACGACGCAACTCACTTTAATTCAAAACCACACAACCAAAATCATAGACTTACCTTCCATTTTTGACACCCAAAAAAACTTCTCCCACTCTCTCGGCCAACGCATAGAGAAGCTTTCAATCCACACCAACAATGAATAACAGGCTCGTAGTCAAAGGTACGACTTCGTTCTTTTAGAAGCGTAGATGATGATGAAGACGACATACTTGCGAAGGCCTTAGTCTGAAGGGAGAAGGAGAAGGTGCCAGCTTTGAAGTGGGGAATTTGGGAATTTGGGGTTTTGGGGATTTTTACAAATGTTTAGGCTTTGAAGTGGGGAAAAGCCAAATCAGATTAACTGCCCGGTAAGGGAGGGATACGTTGGAGTCCATGTCAGCCATTAACTGGCTAACCTGGCGTCAACCGGCTAAAAAGGCAGATTGGGTGTTTTTGTTGAGTACGCGGACTTGATTGGGTTATTCGGAACTACGAGGGCTTAATTGAGGAATTGACCAAAGTACGAGGGCCTATTTGAGAGTTTTCTCGAATTTAAATGTAATTGTGATCATATATAGTATGTGTTGCTGCACTTGCAAGTTGTAAGATAAAAAACTTAGCTTGAGGTTAGTTTCTTTCTCTTCTCTCTAATGCATTTATATTATTTTTGATGGATAAAAGAGATTTTAAATGCAAAGAGAACGAAATATATCTGGTTTTGGTCTTTTGTAAACATAAAATAAATTTAGTTTGTTGTCACACACCACGTGCGTTCAACCTAGAGACAACAAACCACAATTTGTGTTGTATTGTTTGTTGCTAGAACAACCAAAGTGTTATATATACTCCGATCTGTTACATGCTGTTTTAGTTATCAGTTAAAAACTCCTAAACAGTACTAATCATACTAAGATAATCACCGAGTGCTCGCGTGACTTTTTCAATTTGCTGAGAAAGTTCACGGGTAGGTGCCGAAACCAAAGTTTGGCATTCAATTGTGTTGTAATCAAGCATTGCAAAAGGGAGCAATACCTCTTTGATGAATTGCAGAAGGCTTCTCAAGCCTTAACCCAATCCCATAGCAGCATTTAGCTAATCACACACATAAAACTTTAAGGCAAGTAATGATACCATTAAAAGAAAATATAATCTAATACATGTAACAGTAAAAACCGCTAATAACTGTAAAAGTGAAAACCTCTCAAACAATAAACAATAATACATGTGGGATGGAGACTACAATATGAACACTATTATATTAACTTTTACTTTTACAATTGTCTCTTGTTCTCATCAAAGATTTCTGTATATTTTTTCTTCTTTCTTCTAATTTTCACAAACATGCATAGCTTTGGTTTCTGAATCAGATTAGGTTTTAATGGTCAATATTTGTTCCAAGTACAACAAATTAAAAATTAACTATGTTTGCATCTATCTATTTCATGCTTTTTAGCTTAATTGAGGATGTTCGCGATCAGTTTAACTAAATTGTTTCAAAAATTCTTGCACAGCTCCATAAGAAGTAAATGTTATAAACTTTCATTAAGAAAATTGTATGATGCATCAAATCAAAAACTGAGCTCATTGTTCAACTTGAGGGCGTTGCATAAACAAGCTTTGAACTCAGCTATTCATACGACATGCATGTTCATATAAATAAAAAAATCATCACTCATACTTCATATTTTATATTTTATTAACATTTGAGTTCCTTGATAGGAAATATTCTTGGAGGAAATATTGTCAACTTTTGAAATAGCAGGCATCTAATATTCTCATAAGCAATTCACAGTTTTCAAACATGTTTCTGTTTAAGTCATAATTAGATTTTTACTTTAAAATAATTTTCAAAAAACATAAGCAGTTTGGGGGTTTCTTTTGTTTCACATAACTTCAGAAGAAAGAGGTTAATCTTACGTGGCGGGAGTTTTGTTGATGAAAAATATGATTGGATTTAACATCAAATACTTCAACCTAGCTCTGGTTGGGAGCTTCATTTCGACACAGAACAATTCTGAAACTATTCATAAAGAAAGGGTTTCTACAAGCAATTCGGGAAGGTGATTTCTCAAACTAATTTCTAATCTGTCATGTTTGGTGTTAGAAGTGAAAAAGAAAATGAAGGACTCGAAGGAGACGGGCACTTCTACAGAGAAAAGCCAAAAACTGGACAAGTGAAAGGCGGCGCATATAGAATTTTTCTATTGTGTGAGGTTAACTATGCAAGAAAAGAAATACAATTTAATTTTTAGTATTTTGATGGAGGAGGAGAAAAGAATTGAAGAAAAGGAAAATAAAGCAGAAGAAAAAGCAAACGAAAAGGATGTAACTCGCGCATAAGAAGATGCAACTCGCTTATAAAAAGATGTAACTCCTACACATGAAAAATGTAAATTTTTCATAAGAAGATGTAATTTCCTGTTTGATAAATGTAAATTGAAATAAACAAATTTAATGTCTTAGAAAACACTAAAACTTTTAAAAGAAGTAAAGGAATATATTATAGTAATTAAAATGTAATTGTGATCTTGTGGAAACATAAAGTAAATTTAGTTTGTTGTCACACACCACGTGTGTTCAACCTAGAGTCAATGAACCACAATTTCAATTCTTTGTAATTACTGGTGGGCGACAATTGAGTGATGAAGTAGTGTGTGCGTGGGAACGAGCGAAGGGTGATGAAGTAAAAACGACGATTGCAGACTTGCAGTGACAGAGAAGAATCAATAGGAGGGTGCGACCTTATTTTTATTTATTGAAACGACGTCGTATTGGGACCGGTATACCATGCAGAAGTTATACTGATCCCACGGTATAATTTGTGCTATAACACGGATGCACAGGAGAGCTCCCCAAACAACCAAGTTCTTAATAATTAAATAAAGGAACATTGTGCCATACAACTTCTGGCATTCAAATCCATTGCATTACTAAGAAATTTTAAAACAGTACACATTGTTCCAAGCTTACATCCTCAAATACACACTACCTAGTAAAGCAAGAAGTACAATCATAGTAAACACATACAACTTCCTACTCTGTTTGTTGACCTTCGCCTCATTGTCAACAACAGTTTTGACTTAACCAACATCAATTGTACTAGCGAAATCTTTAGGACAAGTCCTTCGACCATTTTTTTCAAATCATCTGCACTTTCGCTCTTCGCTTCAGCCCTGCCATATTCTTCTTTTCTTCAGCCCTCACAATGTGTCGTATGCCTACATCTTCCTTCCATAAGAAAAACCGCAACTCCCAACCTGTACACATTAACATGTTAATGGAAATTTTCCAAATCATTAAAATATATAACGTATACAATAAATGAACGACGCAACACACTTTAATAAATGAATCCAAGGTTGATTCATCAATGTATCAGCGCTTGTGTGGCAAACTTATCTATCTCTCTCATACTAGACCTGACATTGCCTATGCAGTTAGTGTTTTGAGTCAGTTCATGCATGATCCAAGGAAACCACATCTAGAAGCAGCCTATAGGGTTCTTCACTACCTAAAAGGAAGTCCAGGGCAAGGGATAATATTCAGGAAGGGTGGGCAATTATCAGTCCAAGCCTTCACTGATGCAGATTATGGTGGCTCCCTCGTTGACCGCCGGTCAACTACTGGTCCCTGTGTTTTCCTAGTAGGAAACCTCGTGACATGGAGAAGCAAAAAACAGAAGGTTGTGGCACGATCATCTGCTGAATCTGAGCTAAGAGCTCTTGACCATGGCTTATGTGAACTTCTATGGATCAGAATTATTCTCTTAGATTTACAAATCAAGTGGAAAGGACCAATGGAATTGAGGTGTGATAACAAATCATCAATCAACATAGCTCATAATCCAGTCCAACATGATCGGACCAAGCATATTGAGATTGATAGACACTTTATCAAAGAAAAGGTTGAAGGAGGTCTGATCGAACTAAGCTACACTCCCTCAGAAGATCAAGTTGCAGATGTGTTTACCAAACCTCTGCACAGTCCTAGGTTCCAGGGTCTTATTGTCAAGCTAGGCATGACGAATATCTACAAACCTAGCTTGAGGGGGAGTGTTGATAAAACGAAGAGACATCATTAATCTAGGATTTATTTTCCTTATTATTACTGTAATTATGTATCTTTAGTGCTTCAGGTTGTATTTAATAGCTGCTGTCTTTTCAGTTCTCAATCATTTATGTTTAGTATTTAGACAGTCACCTAGGGTGCTGAATAGACTCTCTCAGGATTCCTATCTGTATAAATAACTTATGTACTTCTTGTAAATGAATTCAAGGAAATAATATTCAGAAAACTTCAAGAAGCGTAGATGATGATGAAGACGACATACTTGCGAAGGCCTCAATATGAAGGGAGAAGGAGAAGGTGCCAACTTTGAAGTGGGGAATTTGGGAATTTGGGGTTTTGGGGATTTTTAAAAACGTTTAGGCTTTGAAGTGGGGAAAAGCCAAGTGAGATTAAATGCCCGGTAAGGGAGGGACACGTTGGAGTCCATGTCACCCATTAACTAACTAACCGGGCGTCTACCGGCTAAAAAGGCAGATTGGGTGTTTTTGTTGAGTACACGGACTTGATTGGGTGATTCGGAACTACGAGGGCTTAATTGAGGAATTGACCAAAGTACGAGGGCCTATTCGAGAGTTTTCTCAAATTTAAATGTAATTGTGATCATATGTAGTATGTGTTGCTGCACTTGCAAGTTGTAAGATAAAAAACTTAGCTTGAGGTTAGTTTCTTTCTCTTCTCTCTAATGCATTTATATTATTTTGGATGGATAAAAGAGATTTTGAATGCAAAGAGAACGGAATATATTTGGTTTTGGTCTTTTGTAAACATAAAATAAATTTAGTTTGTTGTCACACACCACGTGCGTTCAACCTAGAGACAACGAACCACAATTTCAATTCTTTGTAATTACGAGTGGGCGACAATTAAGAGATGAAGCAGTGTGTGCGTGAGAACGAGCAAAGGGTGATGAAGGAAAAAAAGACGATTGAAGACTTGTTGTGACAAAGAAGAATCGATAGGAGGGTGCAAGCTTGTTTTTATTTATTGAAACCATTGGGACATGTATACTACACACATTTTATACCAAATATTATAATACCTCCGTTCTTAAATAAATGCAACACTTTGACTTTTATACTATTCACATGTTCTACTTTGACTTCGTTTTATTTATTAATGTAATAATATTATTTTATGAAAAAAATATTGTTAAACTTGTCTCATTGTAATTTTCATAATCTAATTTTTTTAATTTTTTTACTAATAAAAATCATTTATATTAATGGTCAAAGTTGTGTCTCGCCAAGTGTGAAATGTTGACCGTTGCATTTATTATTTAAGAACGGAGAAAATATTACCTATCCCCAAATATAATTTGCCCCGTAATTTGTTATATTTGCCCCTTAATTTGGAGTTCGTATAACCGTCCCAGCATGAGCACCGTACACCCACTCCCAAAACTTTTTTTAAAAATGGTAATAACTTTTTAATTTTTGATCCGATTTTTATAAAATTTATATCAACATTTTTTATTTTTCATGATCTTTCAAATGAGACCAATATTGCCTATGTAATTTTAACATATTGTCGAACTATTATATTAACCTATGTAAAATATGTAATTTTACGTGTAAAAATATGTAACTCATGTCTAGTCAGGCCAAATGCAACTCGTGTGTATAAATATGTAACTCTATGTGTAAAAATATGTAACTTTACGTGTAAAAATATGTAACTCGCGTTCAGACAGGTCAAATGTAACTCGTGTGTATAAATATGTAACTCGCGTGTATAAATATGTAACTTGCTTATAAAAAGATGTAACTCGCTCATAAAAAGATGTAACTCAATGTAACTGAGGTCACTGATCCACTCCCAAACAGATTCGATCTTCTATTTCACAAACCTATCATCTCCCTGCAATTCATATGCAACTCGTGTGTAAATATATGTAACTTGCGTGTAGAAATATGTAACTTTACGTGTAAAAATATGTAACTTCACGTATAAAAATATGTAACTCACATGTATAAATACATAATACAATAAATTTTTTATATACACAATTTTAAAATAAATTGTGATTTACACAATTATTTTTCTAAATTAAATTTAGTTCGATTTTCCTTATAATCCAATACCATTAATATAATAGTTCGATAAGTTTTTAAAATTACATAAGCAATATTGGTCTCATTTGAAAGATCATGAAAAATAAAAAATGTTGATATAAATTTTATATACACAATTTTAAGATAAATTGTGATTTACACAATTATTATCATTTGTTAACAACAAAAGCAAAAATAGAAAGAAAAGAAACAAACAATCCTACGTCGTTTTGCAACAGGACGCACCATGGTGCCCCGGTTGCATCTTAATTTGTTATACTGATCTCCAAATATATTACGCATCTTCCGATATCTTCCACGGATCTTTTAATATATTACCACTCCAACGGCTCTTTTGACATCCTCGAGAGGCCATTAGGTCCTTCCGCATCCGTCAGCCGTCACCCTCTGCATGTGCAAAGCTCAATCGACCATCCGCCTGCGAAGCAATCGCAGAAATGAAATGGCCGACACCTATGGGTCTGCCAAGAAGAATGCTTCGAGACCATCAGGTCAGCAGTCTCACCTTCCGCGGGTGTGAAACCCTAGCCCTTCAAAAACAATTGTTCCTAAAGTAAGTTTATCAATCGTGGAAAAGTAAAGATAAGTCATTAGTATATTATTCATGTTTGCATATCTTTATCAGTTCACTACTTTTCAGTTTTCAGGCAGTAGATAAGGTTTTGGAATGACCTATTTGTCGAGTGATGGCACTGAAGTAGTACGTAAAGCAAGGGTTTGAAATTATTCAACCAAATTGTTTTGTAAGTTTTCTCCCACCACAAATAATTTATAGTTTTTTGTTGTTTCTATTTATTTGATCTTTCATTTCACCACCAATAGCCACAGATTCAGTTTTTTGTTGCTCAATTACATATGCTTTGTGTGATATGCAGTTCTATTTTTTTTTACTTCCCTTTGAACATTTTTATCTGCATTTTTTTTGCATGATTACATATACTTCTACAGATTACACTGCGAATTAGATCATCAATAGTTCAGGTCCTATTTCATGACACATACCTTACTGTCTTCCAGGAGCAGATATTAAAACATAGACACTCTAGAAACATGGAACCTGAAACAGTGATTTTGTTTATGATCTTACATGAAGTATGACACATTGATATATTGTAGGATGCTCCAGGATGCTCAGTTTGTTGTAATTTCAGGCATACTTGTTGTGTGCTTCTTTTTACCTTTTGTTTCTTGATTCTGCAGGACCTTAAAAGCTCTTGCGGAAGTTGACAATCATGGAAGCCAAGGCACATTCATTGCAAGAATTCCAGTTTGACGTTTTTCTGGCAAGAGTCACTAGAAGTGTTGCAAAACTGACAATGATCTGGACCATTTCTCTGCTATAAAGGTGAAATTGAACCCTGTTAATGTTTTTTCCCTTGTTATTGTATTATTTGTTTTCTATTCCTTCTTAACATGGGAAAATTTTATATGGGCATTGCAGTTTTAAGATTTGGACTTTTAGTAACCCGAGATTTGCCCATCGTGAGAAGGCAATCAACAGAACACTCTTGGATGAAGAAATGCAGGATACTTGAGAGATGTTACATGATAAATGCAGGTGTATATATATGTTATGCCTTTGTTCTCTTTAGGCGCCCCTTGTCATAATATTTTTCAGTTTAAACATAGAGTGGTGGGTATTAACAAGTGTTTTACCATGTTATAATAACTAAGTGGTATCAATAAGAAATTATATTCCGTTTGTTTACTATTACTAGTCCTACATGAATACTTTTCTTTTGTGCCAATTGTTTTTGTTTTTTTGAACAGGATAAACTAATTCAAAAGAAGCCCAATCGAAAAGGTCCAAATGTGAGTAGTCTACTGGCCGGATAATTCAGATTTGTCTAATCTGAGTATAGTATCGTGAGATAACCGAAGTCTCCAACACCAAATGTTTCGCCAAGTCCTTACCAAGCAGCAGAAATGTCAACTGAATTCTTGGTAAGCACATAATGGTGCGAGTGATAGCTTGAACCTGCTGATGATACCCCTTGATGGGACACAGTCTTGCTAGAAATCTGAGGTTCAAGTTCCTAGAGTAAGTTTGGCAAGCCTGGAAAACAATAAAGTGGTTCATAATATCTTTTTCTTTTTTGCATCTCTTTGACCGTTCACTGCTTTTCAGGCAGTAGAGAAGATTTCGGCAGGAGTTATATGGGGAGTGATGGCACTAGAAGAAGTACGTTCCAAGCATAGTTTAGAAATTATGCAACCAAATTGTTCGGTAAGTCATCTCCCTCTAGCAAGAAGTTATGTATTTTTTCCTTTCTAATTATTTGATCTTCATGTCACAATCACTTACAGCCTATTCAGGTGTACAATCATGAGCATGAATGCAATTAGATAATTAGTCAAGTACTAAATTTTGATAGAGAGCTTGACTGATGGGACCCTAAATGATTTTACGTGATTATAAGCTCATACGTTAGACCATTTCATAAGTGCATATGTAATTCTGAAGTGGTATCAATAAAAAACTTATCATTCTTGTGTTTACTATTCTTACATTAACACTTATCTTTCCTGCCTTGTGATTTTCCTTCTGAACAGGATGAACAAATGAAGGCCAATACGAGAGATCAAAATAACTATTGTTCTACTGGATAGAATGCCAAAGAAGCCTGGATCTTTTAAATGAAAAAAGGAAAAGGAACTGTTAAATCTTGAGTTCGAATTTGCCATCAGGATAGGGAAGGCGTGTATCGAAGAAATTGTTTTTGACGAAGAAATGGATACAAAAACCTATAAAATAAAGAAAAGAACAAATAAAAAAGAAAATAAAAAAGCCAAAAAAAAAGAAAACAAAAAAGAAAACAAATACAAAAAAAGGCGAAAAAAACAAAACAAAAACACATTTCCCTGTGCTGTTGCTTTATTCATGAGGTGTGAAAGCCTAGCCCTGCGAAAACAATTGTTCCTAAAGTAAGTTTATCAATCGTGGAAAAGTAAAGATAAGTCATTAGTATACTTTTTATATTTGCATATCTTTAACCGTTCACTACTTTTCTGTTTTCAGGCAGCAGAGAAGGTTTTGGAATGAGCTATTTATAGAGTGATGGCACTGAACTAGTACGTTAAGCAAGGCTTTGAAATAATTCAACTAAATTGTTTTGTAAGTTTTCTCCCACCAGAAATAATTTATAGTTTTTTGTTGTTTCAATTTATTTGAGCTTTCATTTCACCACCAATAGCCACAGATTCAGTTTTTTATTGCTAAATTACATATGCTTTGTGTGATATGCGGTTCTATTTTTTTACTTTCCTGTGGACATTTTTATCTGCATTTTTGTTGCATTATTACATGTGCTTCTCTAGATTACACTGCGAATTAGATCATCAACAGTTCAGTCCCTGTTTCATGACACATACCTTACTGTCTTCCAGGAGCAGATATTAAAACATAGACACTCTAGAAACATGGAACCTGAATCAGTACTTTTGTTTATGATCTTACCTGAAGTATGAGACATTGATATATTGTCATAACCGATAGTCGGGTTCTGTGTTGAGAAACATGTATGCAATTTCACCAATGGGGTTGAATTTCATGTACATATCCTTTTTCATAAGATAGATTTGTTTGACAATTCAGTACGCATCTTACACCTGCCTCTTACGCTATATTTATCATCTTGTGTAGATTTGTAAATGGTCTGGTTGCTGTAATTTCACGCATACTTGTTGTTTGCTTCTATTACCTTTTGTTTCTCTCTTTGTCAGGACCTTATAAGTTCTTGTGGAAGTTCACAATCATGGAAGCCAAGGCACATTCATTGCACGAAATCCAGTTTGACGTTTCTTTGGCAAGAGTCACTAGAAGGGTTGCTAAACTGACAATGATCTGGACCATTTCTCTGCTTTAAAGGTGAAACTGAACCCTTTTAATGTTTTTTCCCTTGTTATTGTATTATTAGTTTTGTATTCCTTCTCAACATGGGAAAATTTTATATGGGCATTGCAGTTGTAAGATTTGGACTTTTAGTAACCCGAGATTTGCCCATCATGAGAAGGCAATCAAGAGCACACTCTTGGATGGCACTAGAAGAAGTACGTTCCAAGCATAGTTTAGAAATTATGCAACTAAATTGTTCGGTAAGTCATCTCCATCAAGCAAGAAGTTATATATTTTTTCCTTTCTAATTATTTGATCTTCATGTCACAATGACTAACAGCCCATTCAGCTGTACAATCATGAGCATGAATGCAATTAGATAATTAGTCCAATACTAAATTTCGATAGAGAGCTTGACTGATGGGACCCTAAATGATTTTAAATGATTATAGGCTCATACGTTAGATCATTTCATAAGTGCAAATGTAATTCTGAAGTGGTATCAATAAAATACTTATCATCCTTGTGTTTACTATTCTAAAATTAGCACTTATCTTTCCTGCCTTGTGATTTTCCTTCTGAACAGGATGAACAAATGAAGGCCAATACGAGAGATCAAAATAAGAAGTGTTCTACTGGATGGAATGCCAATGAAGCCTGAATCTTTTAAATGAAAAGGAAAAGGAAATGTTAAATCTTGAGTTCGAAATTGCATTAGGAGAGGGAAGGCGTGTACCGAGGAAATTGTTTTTGACGAAAAAATGGATACAAAAACCTAAAAAAAAAGAAAAGAACAAAAAAAGAAAACAGAAAAGCAAAAAAAAAAAAGAAAAGAGAACAAAAAAGCAAAAAAAAAATAGAAAACCAAAAAAAAAGAAAACAAATACAAAAAAAAGGTGAAATAAAAAAAAACAAAAACTTATGTCCCAGTGCTGTTGCTTTGTTCATGACGTGTGAAAGCCTATCCATGCGAAAACAATTGTGCACATTCATTGCAAGAATTCCAGTTTGACGTTTTTTTGGCAAGAGTCACTAAAGGGTTGCAAAACTGACAATGATCTTGACCATTTCTCTGCTTTAAAGGTCAAACTGAACCCTGTTAATGTTTTTTCCGTTGTTATTGTATTATTCATTTTCTATTCCTTCTCAACATGGGAAAATTTTATATGGGCTTTGCAGTTGTAAGATTTGGACTTTTAGTAACCCGAGATTTGCCCATCGTGAGAAGGCAATCAAGAGCACACTCTGGGATGAAGAAACGCAAGATGCTTGAGAGTTGTTCCATGATAAATGCAGGTGTATATATATGTTATGCCTTTGTTCTTTTTAGGCGCCTCTAGTCACAATATTTCTGTTTAAAAATAGAATGGTGGGTATTAACAAGTGTTATACCATGTTATAATTCCTGAGTTGTATCAATAAAAAATTATCTTCCGTTTGTTTACTATTACTAGTCCTACATGAACATTTTTCTTTTGTGCCTATTGATTTTGTTTTTCTAAACAGGATAAACTAATTCAAAAGTAGCCCAATGGAAAAGGTCCAAATGTGTGTAGTCTACTGGCTGGATGATTCGGATTTGCCTAATCTGAGTATAGTTTCGTGAGAAACCGAAGTCTCATCACCAAATGTTTCGCCAAGTCTTACCTAGCAGCAGAATTCTTGGTAAGCACATATTGGTGCCAGTGATAGCTTGAACCTGCTGATGGGTACCCCTTGATGGGACACAGTCTTGCTAGAAATCTGAGGTTCAAGTTCCTAGAGTAAGTTTGGCAAGCATTGAAAACTGTAAAGTGGTTAATAATATCTTTTTCTTTTTTGCATATCTTTGACCGTTCACTGCTTTTCAGGGAGTAGAGAAGATTTCGGCAGGAGTTATATGGGGAGTGATGGCACTAGAAGAAGTACGTTCCAAGCATAGTTTAGAATTTATGCAACTAAATTGTTCGGTGAGTCATCTCCATCAAGCAAGAAGTTATATATTTTTTCCTTTCTAATTATTTGATCTGCATGTCACAATCACTAACAGCCCATTCAGCTGTACAATGATGAGCATGAATGCAATTAGATAATTAGTCCAATACTAAATTTCGATAGAGAGCTTGACTGATGGGACCCTAAATGATTTTAAGTGATTATAGGCTCATACGTTAGATCATTTCATAAGTGCATATGTAATTCTGAAGTGGTTTCAATAAAATACTTATCATCCTTGTGTTTACTATTCTAAAATTAGCACTTATCTTTCCTGCCTTGTGATTTTCCTTCTGAACAGGATGAACAAATGAAGGCCAATACGAGAGATCAAAATAAGAAGTGTTCTACTGGATGGAATGCCAATGAAGCCTGAATCTTTTAAATGAAAAGGAAAAGGAAATGTTAAATCTTGAGTTCGAAATTGCATTAGGAGAGGGAATGCGTGTACCGATGAAATTGTTTTTGACGAAAAAATGGATACAAAAACCTAAAAAAAAAGAAAAGAACAAAAAAAAAAGAAAACAGAAAAGCAAAAAAAAAAGATTAGAGAAACTAATTCAAAAGTAGCCCAATCGAAAAGGTCCAAATGTGTGTAGTCTACTGGCTGGATGATTCGGATTTGCCTAATCTGAGTATAGTTTCGTGAGAAACCGAAGTCTCATCACCAAATGTTTCGCCAAGTCTTACCTAGCAGCAGAATTCTTGGTAAGCACATATTGGTGCCAGTGATAGCTTGAACCTGCTGATGGGTACCCCTTGATGGGACACAGTCTTGGCAAGCCTGGAAAACTGTAAAGTGGTTAATAATATCTTTTTCTTTTTTGCATATCTTTGACCGTTCACTGCTTTTCAGGGAGTAGAGAAGATTTCGGCAGGAGTTATATGGGGAGTGATGGCACTAGAAGAAGTACGTTCCAAGCATAGTTTAGAAATTATGCAACTAAATTGTTCGGTGAGTCATCTCCATCAAGCAAGAAGTTATATATTTTTTCCTTTCTAATTATTTGATCTGCATGTCACAATCACTAACAGCCCATTCAGCTGTACAATCATGAGCATGAATGCAATTAGATACTTAGTCCAATACTAAATTTCGATAGAGAGCTTGACTGATGGGACCCTAAATGATTTTAAGTGATTATAGGCTCATACGTTAGATCATTTCATAAGTGCATATGTAATTCTGATGTGGTTTCAATAAAATACTTATCATCCTTGTGTTTACTATTCTAAAATTAGCACTTATCTTTCCTGCCTTGTGATTTTCCTTCTGAACAGGATGAACAAATGAAGGCCAATACGAGAGATCAAAATAAGAAGTGTTCTACTGGATGGAATGCCAATGAAGCCTGAATCTTTTAAATGAAAAGGAAATGTTAAATCTTGAGTTGGAAATTGCATTAGGAGAGGGAATGCGTGTACCGATGAAATTGTTTTTGACGAAAAAATGGATACAAAAATCTAAAAAAAAAAAGAAAAGAACAAAAAAAAAGAAAACAGAAAAGCAAAAAAAAAGAATAGAGAACAAAAAAGCAAAAAAAAAAAAAAATAGAAAACCAAAAAAAAGAAAACAAATACAAAAAAAAGGTGAAATAAAAAAAAAACAAAAACTTATGTCCCAGTGCTGTTGCTTTGTTCATGACGTGTGAAAGCCTATCCATGCGAACACAATTGTGCACATTCATTGCAAGAATTCCAGTTTGACGTTTTTTGGCAAGAGTCACTAAAGGGTTGCAAAACTGACAATGATCTGGACCATTTCTCTGCTTTAAAGGTCAAACTGAACCCTGTTAATGTTTTTTCCGTTGTTATTGTATTATTCATTTTCTATTCCTTCTCAACATGGGAAAATTTTATATGGGCATTGCAGTTGTAAGATTTGGGCTTTTAGTAACCCGAGATTTGCCCATCGTGAGAAGGTAATCAAGAGCACACTCTGGGATGAAGAAACGCAAGATGCTTGAGAGTTGTTACATGATAAATGCAGGTGTATATATATGTTATGCCTTTGTTCTTTTTAGGCGCCTCTAGTCATAATATTTCTGTTTAAAAATAGAATGGTGGGTATTAACAAGTGTTATACCATGTTATAATTCCTGAGTTGTATCAATAAAAAATTATCTTCCGTTTGTTTACTATTACTAGTCCTACATGAACATTTTTCTTTTGTGCCTATTGATTTTGTTTTTCTAAACAGGATAAACTAATTCAAAAGTAGCCCAATCGAAAAGGTCCAAATGTGTGTAGTCTACTGGCTGGATGATTCGGATTTGCCTAATCTGAGTATAGTTTCGTGAGAAACCGAAGTCTCATCACCAAATGTTTCGCCAAGTCTTACCTAGCAGCAGAATTCTTGGTAAGCACATATTGGTGCCAGTGATAGCTTGAACCTGCTGATGGGTACCCCTTGATGGGACACAGTCTTGCTAGAAATCTGAGGTTCAAGTTCCTAGAGTAAGTTTGGCAAGCATTGAAAACTGTAAAGTGGTTAATAATATCTTTTTCTTTTTTGCATATCTTTGACCGTTCACTGCTTTTCAGGGAGTAGAGAAGATTTCGGCAGGAGTTATATGGGGAGTGATGGCACTAGAAGAAGTACGTTCCAAACATAGTTTAGAAATTATGCAACTAAATTGTTCGGTGAGTCATCTCCATCAAGCAAGAAGTTATATATTTTTTCCTTTCTAATTATTTGATCTGCATGTCACAATCACTAACAGCCCATTCAGCTGTACAATCATGAGCATGAATGCAATTAGATAATTAGTCCAATACTAAATTTCGATAGAGAGCTTGACTGATGGGACCCTAAATGATTTTAAGTGATTATAGGCTCATACATTAGATCATTTCATAAGTGCATATGTAATTCTGAAGTGGTATCAATAAAATACTTAGCATCCTTGTGTTTACTATTCTAACATTAGCACTTATCTTTCCTGCCTTGTGATTTTCCTTCTGAACAGGATGAACAAATGAAGGCCAATACGAGAGATCAAAATAAGAAGTGTTCTACTGGATGGAATGCCAATGAAGCCTGAATCTTTTAAATTAAAAGGAAAAGGAAATGTTAAATCTTGAGTTCGAAATTGCCATTAGGAGAGGGAAGGCGTGTACCGATGAAATTGTTTTTGACGAAAAAATGGATACAAAAACCTAAAAAAAGAAACGAACAAAAAAAAGAAAACAGAAAAGCAAAAAAAAAAAGAATAGAGAACAAAAAAGCAAAAAAAAAAAAAATAGAAAACCAAAAAAAAAAAGAAAACAAATACAAAAAAAAGGCGAAATAAAAAAAAACAAAAACTTATGTCCCAGTGGTGTTGCTTTGTTCATGAGGTGTGAAAGCCTATCCATGCGAAAACAATTGTGCCTAAAGTAAGTTTATCAATCGTTGAAAAGTAAAGATAACTCTTTAGTATATTTTTCATATTAGTATATCTCTAACCGTTCATTACTTTTCAGTTTTCAGGCAGTACAGAATGTTCTGGAATGAGCTATTTGTAGAGTGATGACACTGAAGTAGTACGTTAAGCAAGGCTTTGAAATTATTCAACTAAATTGTTTTGTAAGTTTTCTCCCACCAGAAATAATTTGTAGTTTTTTGTTGTTTCTACTTATTTGATCTTTCATTTCACCACCAATAGCCACAGATTCAGTTTTTTGTTGCTCAGTTACATATGCTTTGTGTGATATGCAGTTCTATTTTTTTTACTTCCCTTTGAACATTTTTATCTGCATTTTTCGTTGCATGATTACATATGCTTCTCTAGATTACACTGCGAATTATATCATAAATAGTTCAGGCCCTGTTTCATGACACATACCTTACTGTCTTCGAGGAGCAGATATTAAAACATAGACACTCTAGAAACATGGAACCTGAATCAGTGCTTTTGTTTATGATCTTACATGAAGTATGAGACATTGATAAATTGTCATAACTGATAGTTGGTTTCTGTGTTGAGAAACATGTATGCAATTTCACCAATGGGGTGGAATTTCATGTACGTATCCTTTTTCATAAGATAGATTTGTTTGACAATTCAGTACGCATCTTACACCTGCCTCTTAAGCTATATTTATCATTTTGTATAAATTTGTGGATGCTCAGATTGCTGCAATTTCAGGCGGCATACTTGTTGTGTGCTTCTTTTACCTTTTGTTTCTTGATTCTGCAGGACCTTAAAAGTTCTTGCGAAAGTTCACAATCATGGAAGCCAAGGCACATTCATTGCTAGAATTCCAGTTTGACGTTTTTTTGGCAAGAGTCACTAAAAGGGTTGCAAAACTGACAATGATCTGGACCATTTTTCTGCCTTAAAGGTGAAACTGAACCCTGTTAATGTTTTTTCCGTTGTTATTGTATTATTCGTTTTCCATTCCTTCTCAACATGTGAAAATTTTATATGGTCATTGCAGTTGTAAGATTTGGACTTTTAGTAACCCGAGATTTGCCCATCGTGAGAAGGCAATCAAGAGCACACTCTGGGATGATGAAACACAGGATGCTTGAGAGATGTTACATGATAAATGCAGGTGTATATATATGTTATGCCTCTGTTCTCTTTAGGCGCCTCTTGTCATAATATTTCTGTTTAAAAATAGAGTGGTGGGTATCAACAAGTGTTATACCATCTTATAATTCCTGAGTCGTATCAATAAGAAATTATCTTCCGTTTGTTTACTATTACTACTCCTACATGAACATTTTTCTTTTGTGCTTATCGATTTTGTTTTTCTGAACAGGATAACAGGATAAACTAATTCAAAAGAAGCCCAATCGAAAAGGTCCAAATGTGAGTAGCCTACTGGCTGGATGATTCAGATTTGCCTAATCTGAGTATAGTTTCGTGAGATAACCGAAGTCTCCAACACCAAATGTTTCGCCAAGTCTTACCTGCTGATGGTACCCCTTGATGGGTCAGTCTTGCTAGAAATATGTGGTTCAAGTTTCTAGAGTAAGTTTTGTCAAGCTTGGTAAACTCTAAAGTGGTTAATAATATCTTTTTCTTTTTTGCATATCTTTGACCGTTCACTGCTTTCCAGGCAGTAGAGAAGATTTCGGTAGCAGTTATATGGGGAGTGATGGCACTGGAAAAAGTACGTTCCAAGCATAGTTTAGAAATTATGCAACTAAAATGTTCGGTAAGTTATCTCCCTCAAGCAAGAAGTTATATTTTTTCTTTTCTAATTATTTTATCTTCATTTCACAATCACTAACAGCCTATTCAGCAGTACAAACATGAGCATGAATGCAATTAGTGAATTAGATAATTAGTCAAGTACTAAATTTTGATAGAGCTTGACTGATGGGACCCTAAATGATTTTACGTGATTATAGGCTCATACGTTAGACCATTTCATAAGTGCATATGTTATTCTGAAGTGGTATCAATAAAAAACTTATCATTCTTGTGTTTACTATTCTTGCATTAGCACTTATCTTTCCTGCCTTTTGATTTTCCTTCTGAACAGTATAAACAAATGAAGGCCAATACGAGAGATCAAAATAAGAAGTGTTCTACTGGATGGAACGCCAATGAAGCCTGAATCTTTTTCATGAAAAGGAAAACGAAATGCTAATCTTGAGTTCGAAATTGCCATTACGGGAGGGAAGGCGTGTACCGATGAAATTGTTTTTGACGAAAAAATGGATACAAAAATCTAAAAAAAGAAAAGAACAAAAAAAACAGAAAACAAAAAAGCAAAAAAAAAAAGAAAACAAAATACAAAATAAAAGTCGAAAAAAAAAAACAAAACAAAAACACATGTCCCAGTGCTGTTGCTTTGTTCATGAGGTGTAAAAGCCTAGCCCTGCGAAAACAATTGTTCCTAAAGTAAGTTTATCAATCGTGGAAAAATAAAGAAGTCATTAGTATATTTTTCATATTTGTATATCTTTAACCGTTCACTACTTTTCAGTTTTCAGGCAGTAGAGAAGGTTCTGGAATGAGCTATTTGTAGAGTAATGGCACTGAAGTAGTACGGTAAGCAAAGCTTTGAAATTATTCAACTAAATTGTTTTGTAAGTTTTCTCCCACCAGAAATAATTTATAGTTTTTTGTTGTTTCTACTTATTTGATCTTTCATTTCACCACCAATAGCCAAAGATTCAGTTTTTTGTTGCTCAATTACATAAGCTTTGTGTGATATGCAGTTCAATTTTTTTTACTTCCCTTTGAACATTTTTATCTGCATTTTTTGTTGCATGATTACATATGCTTCTCTAGATTACACAGCGAATTAGATCATCCATAGTTCAGGCCCTGTTTCATGACACATACCTTACTGTCTTCCAGGAGCAGATATTAAAACATAGACACTCTAGAAACATGGAACCTGAATCAGTGCTTTTGTTGGTTTCTGTGTTGAAAAACGTGTATGCAATTTCCAGTTAAGCTTTATTATGTTTACCTTTTTAAAATTTTACATTTAAAAGCAGTGAAGAAAAATAGTAGTTTAAAACTAATTTCTCAACTCGTAGTTTTGGGTGGGCAGATGTATATTTTTTGCAAAGGGCATCAAACCTTAAGATAAATGGTATTTGATTAAATTTATTGAGTTATGACCCGAGAGCTTTCTTCTGAATAACTTAAACAACTATTTACTAGTCTCGTAAATTTACTCATATTTACTCAAAAATCTAGACGGCAAAGCATCTGGAGAATCACATATCCAATTTTATATAAAAGTTTGTTAAGTTTATTGTCTAAGTTATTTTAAGTGCGTAAGTTTGATTGCTTTGCAGTGCGTTTAAAATTATTTAACATTATGTTTGGCTTTATATAGGTCGCAGACGCGTACGGTGAAGCTCCGAGCATTGTGAAACTGGATTTAGGAGTGGGCATTATAAAGCTACGGTGAGTGTTGAACTTTTCATGTTTTATTTTCACAGCATAAGTTTGATTATTTGCAGTGTGTTTTAAACTCATCTCGGATTGGCTTAGTTTGGTTTTTATTTTTAAACACCGATCATATTTTGTTTCTTGCAAATAATGAGTTTATTTTCCAGTTAAGCTCTATTATGTCTATGTTTTTGAAATTTTACATTTAAAAGCAATGAAGAAAGAATATTAATATAAAACTAATTTCTTAACTCGTTGTTTTGGGTGGGCAGTTGTATATTTTTGCAAAGGCCATCAAACCTTAAGATATGGTATTTGGTTGAATTAATTGGGTTAAGAGCCTAGAGATTTCTTCTTAATTACTGAAACAACTATTTACTAGTCTCTGAAATTCACTCATATTTATGTGACCAAGGTTTGGTTTTTATTTTTTCAAACACGGATCATACTTCGATTCTTGGGTTTGGTTACAAATCATGAGTTTATTCTAGTTGGGCTTGAAGTCTTCCTTTTTTTAAATTTTACATTTAAAAGCAATAGTGAAAGAATAATGGTAGTTATGCTTGGTCTCTACCAACTTTTTCCAAAGCCCATCAAATCTTAAGATAAATGGTAGTTAATTGAATTCTTTAAGTTAGTATAAAGATCCCGAGAACCTCCTTCCAAAAAACCTTACAACTCTTTACTAGTCTCGTAAATTTACTCATATTTACTCAAAATTCTAGATGGCAAAGCATCCAATTTTATATAAAAGTTTGTTAAGTTTATTGTCTAAGTTATTTTAAGTGCGTAAGTTTGATTGCTTTGCAGTGCGTTTAAAATCATTTAACATTATGTTTGGCTTTATATAGGTCGCAAACGCGTACGGTGAAGCTCCGAGCATTGTTAAACTGGATTTAGGAGTGGGCATTATAAAGCTAAGGTGAGTGTTGGACTTTTCATGTTTTATTTTCACAGCATAAGTTTGATTATTTGCAGTGTGTTTTAAACTCATCTCGGATTGGCTTAGTTTGGTTTTTATTTTTAAACACCGATCATATTTTGTTTCTTGCAAATAATGAGTTTATTTTCCAGTTAAGCTCTATTATGTCTACGTTTTCGAAATTTTACATTTAAAAGCAATGAAGAAAGAATATTAGTATAAAACTAATTTCCTAACTCGTTGTTTTGGGTGGGCAGTTGTATATTTTTTTGCAAATGGCATCAAACCTTAAGATAAATGGTATTTGGTTGAATTTATTGGGTTAAGAGCCTAGAGATTTCTTCTTAATTACTGAAACAACTATTTACTAGTCTCTGAAATTCACTCATATTTATTTGACCAAGGTTTGGTTTTTATTTTTTCAAACACGGATCATACTTCGTTTCTTGCAAATCATGAGGTTATTTTCCAGTTAAGCTTTATTATGTTTACCTTTTTAAAATTTTACATTTAAAAGCAGTGAAGAAAAATAGTAGTTTAAAACTAATTTCTCAACTCGTAGTTTTGGGTGGGCAGTTGTATATTTTTTGCAAAGGCCATCAAACCTTAAGATAAATGGTATTTGATTAAATTTATTGAGTTATGACCCGAGAGCTTTCTTCTGAATAACTTAAACAACTATTTACTAGTCTCGTAAATTTACTCATATTTACTCAAAAATCTAGATGGCAAAGCATCTGGAGAATCTCATATCCAATTTTATATAAAAGTTTGTTAAGTTTATTGTCTAAGTTATTTTAAGTGCGTAAGTTTGATTGCTTTGCAGTGCGCTTAAAATTATTTAACATTATGTTTGGCTTTATATAGGTCGCAGACGCGTACGGTGAAGCTCCGAGCATTGTGAAACTGGATTTAGGAGTGGGCATTATAAAGCTACGGTGAGTGTTGAACTTTTCATGTTTTATTTTCACAGCATAAGTTTGATTATTTGCAGTGTGTTTTAAACTCATCTCGGATTGGCTTAGTTTGGTTTTTATTTTTAAACACCGATCATATTTTGTTTCTTGCAAATAATGAGTTTATTTTCCAGTTAAGCTCTATTATGTCTATGTTTTTGAAATTTTACATTTAAAAGCAATGAAGAAAGAATATTAATATAAAACTAATTTCTTAACTCGTTGTTTTGGGTGGGCAGTTGTATATTTTTTGCAAAGGCCATCAAACCTTAAGATAAATGGTATTTGGTTGAATTAATTGGGTTAAGAGCCTAGAGATTTCTTTTTAATTACTGAAACAACTATTTACTAGTCTCTGAAATTCACTCATATTTATTTGACCAAGGTTTGGTTTTTATTTTTTCAAACACGGATCATACTTCGTTTCTTGGGTTTGGTTACAAATCATGAGTTTATTCTAGTTGGGCTTGAAGTCTTCCTTTTTTTAAATTTTACATTTAAAAGCAATAGTGAAAGAATAATGGTAGTTATGCTTGGTCTCTACCAACTTTTTCCAAAGCCCATCAAATCTTAAGATAAATGGTAGTTAATTGAATTCTTTAAGTTAGTATAAAGATCCCGAGAACCTCCTTCCAAAAAACCTTACAACTCTTTACTAGTCTCGTAAATTTACTCATATTTACTCAAAAATCTAGATGGCAAAGCCTCTGGAGATTCACATATCCAATTTTATATAAAAGTTTGTTAAGTTTATTGTCTAAGTTATTTTAAGTGCGTAAGTTTGATTGCTTTGCAGTGCGTTTAAAATCATTTAACATTATGTTTGGCTTTATATAGGTCGCAGACGCGTACGGTGAAGCTCCGAGCATTGTTAAACTGGATTTAGGAGTGGGCATTATAAAGCTAAGGTGAGTGTTGGACTTTTCATGTTTTATTTTCACAGCATAAGTTTGATTATTTGCAGTGTGTTTTAAAACTCATCTCGGATTGGCTTAGTTTGGTTTTTATTTTTAAACACCGATCATATTTTGTTTCTTGCAAATAATGAGTTTATTTTCCAGTTAAGCTCTATTATGTCTTCGTTTTCGAAATTTTACATTTAAAAGCAATGAAGAAAGAATATTAGTATAAAACTAATTTCCTAACTCGTTGTTTTGGGTGGGCAGTTGTATATTTTTTGCAAAGGGCATCAAACCTTAAGATAAATGGTATTTGGTTGAATTTATTGGGTTAAGAGCCTAGAGATTTCTTCTTAATTACTGAAACAACTATTTACTAGTCTCTGAAATTCACTCATATTTATTTGACCAAGGTTTGGTTTTTATTTTTTCAAACACGGATCATACTTCGTTTCTTGGGTTCGGTTACAAATCATGAGTTTATTCTAGTTGGGCTTGAAGTCTTCCTTTTTTTAAATTTTACATTTAAAAGCAATAGTGAAAGAATAATGGTAGTTATGCTTGGTCTCTACCAACTTTTTCCAAAGCCCATCAAATCTTAAGATAAATGGTAGTTAATTGAATTCTTTAAGTTAGTATAAAGATCCCGAGAACCTCCTTCCAAAAAACCTTACAACTCTTTACTAGTCTCGTAAATTTACTCATATTTACTCAAAAATCTAGATGGCATAGCCTCTGGAGATTCACATATCCAATTTTATATAAAAGTTTGTTAAGTTTATTGTCTAAGTTATTTTAAGTGCGTAAGTTTGATTGCTTTGCAGTGCGTTTAAAATCATTTAACATTATGTTTGGCTTTATATAGGTCGCAGACGCGTACGGTGAAGCTCCGAGCATTGTTAAATTGGATTTAGGAGTGGGCATTATAAAGCTATGGTGAGTGTTGGACTTTTCATGTTTTATTTTCACAGCATAAGTTTGATTATTTGCAGTGTGTTTTAAAACTCATCTCGGATTGGCTTAGTTTGGTTTTTATGTTTAAACACCGATCATATTTTGTTTCTTGCAAATAATGAGTTTATTTTCCAGTTAAGCTCTATTATGTCTACGTTTTTGAAATTTTACATTTAAAAGCAATGAAGAAAGAATATTAGTATAAAACTAATTTCCTAACTCGTTGTTTTGGGTGGGCAGTTGTATATTTTTTGCAAAGGGCATCAAACCTTAAGATAAATGGTATTTGGTTGAATTTATTGGGTTAAGAGCCTAGAGATTTCTTCTTAATTACTGAAACAACTATTTACTAGTCTCTGAAATTCACTCATATTTATTTGACCAAGGTTTGGTTTTTATTTTTTCAAACACAGATCATACTTCGTTTCTTGCAAATCATGAGGTTATTTTCCAGTTAAGCTTTATTATGTTTACCTTTTTAAAATTTTACATTCAAAAGCAGTGAAGAAAAATAGTAGTTTAAAACTAATTTCTCAACTCGTAGTTTTGGGTGGGCAGTTGTATATTTTTTGCAAAGGGCATCAAACCTTAAGATAAATGGTATTTGATTAAATTTATTGAGTTATGACCCGAGAGCTTTCTTCTGAATAACTTAAACAACTATTTACTAGTCTCGTAAATTTACTCATATTTACTCAAAAATCTAGACCGCAAAGCCTCTGGAGAATCACATATCCAATTTTATATAAAAGTCTGTTAAGTTTATTGTCTAAGTTATTTTAAGTGCGTCAGTTTGATTGCTTTGCAGTGCGTTTAAAATTATTTAACATTATGTTTGGCTTTATATAGGTCGCAGACGCGTACGGTGAAGCTCCGAGCATTGTGAAACTGGATTTAGGAGTGGGCATTATAAAGCTACGGTGAGTGTTTGATTTTATGTTTTATTTTCATGTTTTATTTTCACAGCATAAGTTTGATTATTTGCAGTGTGTTTTAAACTCATCTCGGATTGGCTTAGTTTGGTTTTTATTTTTAAACACCGATCATATTTTGTTTCTTGCAAATAATGAGTTTATTTTCCAGTTAAGCTCTATTATGTCTATGTTTTTGAAATTTTACATTTAAAAGCAATGAAGAAAGAATATTAATATAAAACTAATTTCTTAACTCGTTGTTTTGGGTGGGCAGTTGTTTATTATTTGCAAAGGCCATCAAACCTTAAGATAAATGGTATTTGGTTGAATTAATTGGGTTAAGAGCCTAGAGATTTCTTTTTAATTACTGAAACAACTATTTACTAGTCTCTGAAATTCACTCATATTTATTTGACCAAGGTTTGGTTTTTATTTTTTCAAACACGGATCATACTTCGTTTCTTGGGTTTGGTTACAAATCATGAGTTTATTCTAGTTGGGCTTGAAGTCTTCCTTTTTTTAAATTTTACATTTAAAAGCAATAGTGAAAGAATAATGGTAGTTATGCTTGGTCTCTACCAACTTTTTCCAAAGCCCATCAAATCTTAAGATAAATGGCAGTTAATTGAATTCTTTAAGTTAGTATAAAGATCCCGAGAACCTCCTTCCAAAAAACCTTACAACTCTTTACTAGTCTCGTAAATTTACTCATATTTACTCAAAAATCTAGATGGCAAAGCCTCTGGAGATTCACATATCCAATTTTATATAAAAGTTTGTTAAGTTTATTGTCTAAGTTATTTTAAGTGCGTAAGTTTGATTGCTTTGCAGTGCGTTTAAAATCATTTAACATTATGTTTGGCTTTATATAGGTCGCAGACGCGTACGGTGAAGCTCCGAGCATTGTTAAACTGGATTTAGGAGTGGGCATTATAAAGCTAAGGTGAGTGTTGGACTTTTCATGTTTTATTTTCACAGCATAAGTTTGATTATTTGCAGTGTGTTTTAAAACTCATCTCGGATTGGCTTAGTTTGGTTTTTATTTTTAAACACCGATCATATTTTGTTTCTTGCAAATAATGAGTTTATTTTCCAGTTAAGCTCTATTATGTCTACGTTTTCGAAATTTTACATTTAAAAGCAATGAAGAAAGAATATTAGTATAAAACTAATTTCCTAACTCGTTGTTTTGGGTGGGCAGTTGTATATTTTTTGCAAAGGGCATCAAACCTTAAGATAAATGGTATTTGGTTGAATTTATTGGGTTAAGAGCCTAGAGATTTCTTCTTAATTACTGAAACAACTATTTACTAGTCTCTGAAATTCACTCATATTTATTTGACCAAGGTTTGGTTTTTATTTTTTCAAACACAGATCATACTTCGTCTCTTGCAAATCATGAGGTTATTTTCCAGTTAAGCTTTATTATGTTTACCTTTTTAAAATTTTACATTTAAAAGCAGTGAAGAAAAATAGTAGTTTAAAACTAATTTCTCAACTCGTAGCTTTGGGTGGGCAGTTGTATATTTTTTGCAAAGGGCATCAAACCTTAAGATAAATGGTATTTGATTAAATTTATTGAGTTATGACCCGAGAGCTTTCTTCTGAATAACTTAAACAACTATTTACTAGTCTCGTAAATTTACTCATATTTACTCAAAAATCTAGACGGCAAAGCCTCTGGAGAATCACATATCCAATTTTATATAAAAGTCTGTTAAGTTTATTGTCTAAGTTATTTTAAGTGCGTAAGTTTGATTGCTTTGCAGTGCGTTTAAAATTATTTAACATTATGTTTGGCTTTATATAGGTCGCAGACGCGTACGGTGAAGCTCTGAGCATTGTGAAACTGGATTTAGGAGTGGGCATTATAAAGCTACGGTGAGTGTTGAACTTTTCATGTTTTATTTTCACAGCATAAGTTTGATTATTTGCAGTGTGTAACTCATCTCGGATTGGCTTAGTTTGGTTTTTATTTTTAAACACCGATCATATTTTCTTTCTTGCAAATAATGAGTTTATTTTCCAGTTAAGCTCTATTATGTCTATGTTTTTGAAATTTTACATTTAAAAGCAATGAAGAAAGAATATTAATATAAAACTAATTTCTGAACTCGTTGTTTTGGGTGGGCAGTTGTATATTTTTTGCAAAGGCCATCAAACCTTAAGATAAATGGTATTTGGTTGAATTAATTGGGTTAAGAGCCTAGAGATTTCTTCTTAATTACTGAAACAACTATTTACTAGTCTCTGAAATTCACTCATATTTATTTGACCAAGGTTTGGTTTTTATTTTTTCAAACACGGATCATACTTCGTTTCTTGGGTTTGGTTACAAATCATGAGTTTATTCTAGTTGGGCTTGAAGTCTTCCTTTTTTTAAATTTTACATTTAAAAGCAATAGTGAAAGAATAATGGTAGTTATGCTTGGTCTCTACCAACTTTTTCCAAAGCCCATCATCATCAAATCTTAAGATAAATGGTAGTTAATTGAATTCTTTAAGTTAGTATATAGATCCCGAGAACCTCCTTCCAAAAAACCTTACAACTCTTTACTAGTCTCGTAAATTTACTCATATTTACTCAAAAATCTAGATGGCAAAACATCCAATTTTATATAAAAGTTTGTTAAGTTTATTGTCTAAGTTATTTTAAGTGCGTAAGTTTGATTGCTTTGCAGTGCGTTTAAAATCATTTAACATTATGTTTGGCTTTATATAGGTCGCAGACGCGTACGGTGAAGCTCCGAGCATTGTTAAACTGGATTTAGGAGTGGGCATTATAAAGCTAAGGTGAGTGTTGGACTTTTCATGTTTTATTTTCACAGCATAAGTTTGATTATTTGCAGTGTGTTTTAAACTCATCTCGGATTGGCTTAGTTTGGTTTTTATTTTTAAACACCGATCATATTTTGTTTCTTGCAAATAATGAGCTTATTTTCCAGTTAAGCTCTATTATGTCTACGTTTTCGAAATTTTACATTTAAAAGCAATGAAGAAAGAATATTAGTATAAAACTAATTTCCTAACTCGTTGTTTTGGGTGGGCAGTTGTATATTTTTTTGCAAAGGGCATCAAACCTTAAGATAAATGGTATTTGGTTGAATTTATTGGGTTAAGAGCCTAGAGATTTCTTCTTAATTACTGAAACAACTATTTACTAGTCTCTGAAATTCACTCATATTTATTTGACCAAGGTTTGGTTTTTATTTTTTCAAACACGGATCATACTTCGTTTCTTGCAAATCATGAGGTTATTTTCCAGTTAAGCTATATTATGTTTACCTTGTTAAAATTTTACATGTAAAAGCAGTGAAGAAAAATAGTAGTTTAAAACTAATTTCTCAACTCGTAGTTTTGGGTGGGCAGTTGTATATTTTTTGCAAAGGCCATCAAACCTTAAGATAAATGGTATTTGATTAAATTTATTGAGTTATGACCCGAGAGCTTTCTTCTGAATAACTTAAACAACTATTTACTAGTCTCGTAAATTTACTCATATTTACTCAAAAATCTAGATGGCAAAGCATCTGGAGAATCACATATCCAATTTTATATAAAAGTTTGTTAAGTTTATTGTCTAAGTTATTTTAAGTGCGTAAGTTTGATTGCTTTGCAGCGCGCTTAAAATTATTTAACATTATGTTTGGCTTTATATAGGTCGCAGACGCGTACGGTGAAGCTCCGAGCATTGTGAAACTGGATTTAGGAGTGGGCACTATAAAGCTACGGTGAGTGTTGAACTTTTCATGTTTTATTTTCACAGCATAAGTTTGATTATTTGCAGTGTGTTTTAAATTCATCTCGGATTGGCTTAGTTTGGTTTTTATTTTTAAACACTGATCATATTTTGTTTCGTGCAAATAATGAGTTTATTTTCCAGTTAAGCTCTATTATGTCTATGTTTTTGAAATTTTACATTTAAAAGCAATGAAGAAAGAATATTAATATAAAACTAATTTCTTAACTCGTTTTGGGTGGGCAGTTGTATATTTTTTGCAAAGGCCATCAAACCTTAAGATAAATGGTATTTGGTTGAATTAATTGGGTTAAGAGCCTAGAGATTTCTTTTTAATTACTGAAACAACTATTTACTGGTCTCTAAAATTCACTCATATTTATTTGACCAAGGTTTGGTTTTTATTTTTTCAAACACGGATCATACTTCGTTTCTTGGGTTTGGTTACAAATCATGAGTTTATTCTAGTTGGGCTTGAAGTCTTCCTTTTTTTAAATTTTTCATTTAAAAGCAATAGTGAAAGAATAATGGTAGTTATGCTTGGTCTCTACCAACTTTTTCCAAAGCCCATCAAATCTTAAGATAAATGGTAGTTAATTGAATTCTTTAAGTTAGTATAAAGATCCCGAGAACCTCCTTCCAAAAAACCTGACAACTCTTTACTAGTCTCGTAAATTTACTCATATTTACTCAAAAATCTAGATGGCAAAGCCTCTGGAGATTCACATATCCAATTTTATATAAAAGTTTGTTAAGTTTATTGTCTAAGTTATTTTAAGTGCGTAAGTTTGATTGCTTTGCAGTGCGTTTAAAATCATTTAACATTATGTTTGGCTTTATATAGGTCGCAGACGCGTACGGTGAAGCTCCGAGCATTGTTAAACTGGATTTAGGAGTGGGCATTATAAAGCTAAGGTGAGTGTTGGACTTTTCATGTTTTATTTTCACAGCATAAGTTTGATTATTTGCAGTGTGTTTTAAAACTCATCTCGGATTGGCTTAGTTTGGTTTTTATTTCTAAACACCGATCATATTTTGTTTCTTGCAAATAATGAGTTTATTTTCCAGTTAAGCTCTATTATGTCTACGTTTTCGAAATTTTACATTTAAAAGCAATGAAGAAAGAATATTAGTATAAAACTAATTTCCTAACTCGTTGTTTTGGGTGGGCAGTTGTATATTTTTTTCAAAGGGCATCAAACCTTAAGATAAATGGTATTTGGTTGAATTTATTGGGTTAAGAGCCTAGAGATTTCTTCTTAATTACTGAAACAACTATTTACTAGTCTCTGAAATTCACTCATATTTATTTGACCAAGGTTTGGTTTTTATTTTTTCAAACACAGATCATACTTCGTTTCTTGCAAATCATGAGGTTATTTTGCAGTTAAGCTTTATTATGTTTACCTTTTTAAAATTTTACATTTAAAAGCAGTGAAGAAAAATAGTAGTTTAAAACTAATTTCTCAACTCGTAGTTTTGGGTGGGCAGTTGTATATTTTTTGCAAAGGGCATCAAACCTTAAGATAAATGGTATTTGATTAAATTTATTTAGTTATGACCCGAGAGCTTTCTTCTGAATAACTTAAACAACTATTTACTAGTCTCGTAAATTTACTCATATTTACTCAAAAATCTAGACGGCAAAGCCTCTGGAGAATCACATATCCAATTTTATATAAAAGTCTGTTAAGTTTATTGTCTAAGTTATTTTAAGTGCGTAAGTTTGATTGCTTTGCAGTGCGTTTAAAATTATTTAACATTATGTTTGGCTTTATATAGGTCGCAGACGCGTACGGTGAAGCTCCGAGCATTGTGAAACTGGATTTAGGAGTGGGTATTATAAAGCTACGGTGAGTGTTGAACTTTTCATGTTTTATTTTCACAGCATAAGTTTGATTATTTGCATAAGTTTGATTATTTGCAGTGTGTTTTAAACTCATCTCGGATTGGCTTAGTTTGGTTTTTATTTTTAAACACCGATCATATTTTGTTTCTTGCAAATAATGAGTTTATTTTCCAGGTAAGCTCTATTATGTCTATGTTTTTGAAATTTTACATTTAAAAGCAATGAAGAATGAATATTAATATAAAACTAATTTCTTAACTCGTTGTTTTGGGTGGGCAGTTGTATATTTTTTGCAAAGGCCATCAAACCTTAAGATAAATGGTATTTGGTTGAATTAATTGGGTTAAGAGCCTAGAGATTTCTTCTTAATTACTGAAACAACTATTTACTAGTCTCTGAAATTCACTCATATTTATTTGACCAAGGTTTGGTTTTTATTTTTTTCAAACACGGATCATACTTCGTTTCTTGGGTTCGGTTACAAATCATGAGTTTATTCTAGTTGGGCTTGAAGTCTTCCTTTTTTTAAATTTTACATTTAAAAGCAATAGTGAAAGAATAATGGTAGTTATGCTTGGTCTCTACCAACTTTTTCCAAAGGCCATCAAATCTTAAGATAAATGGTAGTTAATTGAATTCTTTAAGTTAGTATAAAGATCCCGAGAACCTCCTTCCAAAAAACCTTACAACTCTTTACTAGTCTCGTAAATTTACTCATATTTACTCAAAAATATAGATGGCAAAGCATCCAATTTTATATAAAAGTTTGTTAAGTTTATTGTCTAAGTTATTTTAAGTGCGTAAGTTTGATTGCTTTGCAGTGCGTTTAAAATCATTTAACATTATGTTTGGCTTTATATAGGTCGCAGACGCGTACGGTGAAGCTCCGAGCATTGTTAAACTGGATTTAGGAGTGGGCATTATAAAGCTATGGTGAGTGTTGGACTTTTCATGTTTTATTTTCACAGCATAAGTTTGATTATTTGCAGTGTGTTTTAAACTCATCTCGGATTGGCTTAGTTTGGTTTTTATTTTTAAACACCGATAATATTTTGTTTCTTGCAAATAATGAGTTTATTTTCCAGTTAAGCTCTATTATGTCTACGTTTGCAAATAAGGTGTCCATGTTCAAGCTCTTCACTGAGGCGCCCTCCTCGAACAAGGGGTGGAAGGACCGGTGGTGCTACGTGAAGCTGACCGAGAGCCCCTTCCCGAGGGAGTTATGTGACCGTTTCAAGAGGCATGAGAAGAGGAGGAGTGCCGCCCTCGAGAAAGATGACAGGATTCTGGCCATGATTCCGGAGGGCCGGGACAAGAATATCACCATTAAGGAGTGCACCAAGGAAGGAGATCTCTACACCCTCGGGTTCCGGCGGTACCGGTTCCTGGGGGAAACAGATGAGAAGTTCCCAATGTTTGAGGGAGCCTCCGGAGGTAGTGGCTGAGGGCATTCTCACCTTCATATCATAGCACGTCGCTTATTTGCTTCGTTTATTCTTTATGCCATTTGTTAGTGACCCCTCGATTCTAACCCCTCATTGTTTTGCAGGTATCCCAGTGAACATGATGAACGTCAAAGGCCTCGCTCGATTCAAGAACAAGCCGGCCAAGGATCCGAAGGGGTCGGACGCGGGCGGCCAAAAGCCCGTCGGTGCGCCTTTCAAGAAGCCTGAGGGCGATGCTGCTGCGGCGAAGAGGAAGCCGACGGCAAAGGAGGAGCCCCCCCAGGCCCCCAAGAAATCGAAGAAGGGGGACGCCGCGAAGGATGACCCCCCGATGGTGATTGTAGATGACTGTCCCGCCTCCGGGGTGCATGAGGAGATGCCGATGGCGCAGGTGCTGAGGGGTGTTGAATGGCCGTGTTGAATGGCACGACTGACCCGAGGGCGCTCCTGAGAGGTATAACCCTCGATATTGACAGGGCAGCCCTCGGGGCCGATGATGACCAAGCCCTCAAAGACAGGATCCTCCGGTCTTCCCTCACGGTAAGTTTATGACAGTTTGTCTTTCTCTTCTTTACTTCGAACTAGGAAATCACTTTCGGCCCTGCTAACTCCTTTATTTTTGCAGACTTGCATTGCCCTTGGAGAGCAGTTCCGACGGCTGGAGGAATGGCGCCTCCACAAAGCTGGGCAAGACGCCAAGATGAAGGAGCTAATCCTCAATGACTCCAAGGCCACGAAGCTGATGGCCCAGCTTGAAGAGGACCTCCAGCTTGCGAGAGCGGAGGCCGGAAGGCTCAGGGAGGAGAAGGCAAAAGCTGAGGAGGCTGCTGCGGAGTCCGCAAGGAGAGCCGCCGAGGAGGCCGAGGCCATCAGAGCGAAGGCTGTCGCCACAGCCCGGGAGGCCATCTCCGGGTTCCTGGACGGGGGGTGGCTGTCCTCGGTTGTGGAGGCCTCAGTCGATGAGTGGTGCGAGGGCCCGGGCGAGGAATGGATGGCCCGAAAGGGTAAACAATATTATGATGGGGGCGAGTTTTTCACTCAAGCCCTCATCTACCGGAGGATGGCTCTCCATTTGAAGATTGAGCCGAAGGACTTCGACCCGGCGGCATACGGGCTTCCCCCCTGCAGCCAGACATCCGCGTTCCTCTCCCCTCCGATGTCGAGAGGCCAGACCTGGAGGATACTGAGCTCCGGAAGGAAGACGAGGGTGACGAACCTGAGGCCGATGCAGAGGTCACTTCGAAGCCATCGGAGGAGGCGGCCCCCGGAAATGACGTTGTTTGATGTGTAATTTGTACTTAGCAATTTGATCACGCTTTGTAATGGTCACATTTGTATGTTTTCGGCCTCGGCCATCATTGTAACAATTACTTTTACTCTTTTTTGTGATGATTGGTGGATGAATGTTAGCCCTCGGGCCTCGTATATACATGACTGGTTTTCTTTAATTCATTCCTCCTTGAATGTATGTCGTCGTTTTTCTCGAGTGTATGTCTTCGCCTTCTTTGAATGTATGTTTAGGACTTGGAATATTTTCTAAGTGTTTGAACACAGTTGTAGCCTTCGGTAGTTGGGCACCCTTCGCTGGATATACAACCGAGGGCTCAGCAATAGTTAGGACTTAGAAATTTTTTTTAAGTGTAGCACACCATAGGGCCTTCGGATGTTTGTAGTTCAATTGTTGTGTGATGATTAGGTTGAGAACCCAATCCTTAGGACTTAGAAAGATTTCTAAGTGTAGTTTGCCCTTGGAGGCCCTCGGCTGACAACCTCCTTCCTGATGTGTGAATGTTGGACTGAGAGCCCAATATATAGGACTTAGAAAATTTTCTAAGTGTGTTGTAGATGTTGAGCCTTCGGTCAGTGAGGAGTCTGTCCGAGGGGAGAATATTTAGGACTTAGAAAATTTCCTAAGTGGATCTCAGATGTTGAGCCCCCGAGTGGTCCTGGTAAGAGCCATCGAATCGCTGGGTGAACCTTCCTGTTGCGTGGATATTTGTTCGAGGGCCAAATCTTCGGGACTTAGCCTTACTTCCAAATGCATGATGTCAAGTAGCCCTCGGCTTCGGGGTGATAGCCTTCTCCTTGATGTATAAGTAGTTTGATCGAGGGAAAAATATGTATGACTTAGAAAATCTTCTAAGTGCTGTTGCATCATGTAGCCTTCGGCTATCACGGTCCCTCGGTTGAAATAGTGATCAGGCCGGGGGCTCAATCTTCAGGACTTAGAAAATTTTCTAAGTGTCGCTTCCTTGTGTAGCCTTCGGTTAGTAATAGATGCCTTCGGCTGTTGTCATTTTTCAAAAGTGTGGACTAAAATTGTAATTTGTTGTTTATAACTAAATTTACAATTTTAGTGAGTTTCAGTTTGTTTGTTGAATATATATATATATATATATATATATATATATATGATCCTTGTAATTTGTTGTCTATAACTAAAATTTATCATAGTTCTATAAAGAATTCATGTAAGAAAAGTTGATATTCAAAATCCTAAAGTATTAAGTGAAGTTTTTTCGGAGTGAGATAGTATTATTATGATTAGCAGGGTTCTTCTATTGATAAGGTTAAATGAATGAATACTTTTTGTTAAATTACTTTCGTAATTAGTTGCCGGTTGATGTCCTTATTCTTTTGTGTTGTATTGTTTGTTGCTAGAACAACCAAAGTGTTATATATACTCTGATCTGTTACATGCTGTTTTAGTTATCAGTTAAAAACTCCTAAACAGTACTAATCATACTCCATTTCTTACAAATCATGAGTTTTTTCTAGTTGGGCTTTTGTAAAATTTTACATTTAAAAGCAATAGTGAAAGAATAATGGTAGTTATGCTTGGTCTCTACCAACTTTTTCCAAAGCCCATCAAATCTTAAGATAAATGGTAGTTAATTCAATTGTTTAAGTTAGTATAAAGATCCCGAGAACCTCCTTTAAAAAAACTTTACAACTCTTTACTAGTCTCGTAAATTTACTCATTTTTACTCAAAAATCTAGATGGCCAAGCATCAGGAGAATCGGATATTCGATTTTATATGATAGTTTGTTAAGTTTAGTGTCTAAGTTATTTTCATTGCGTAAGTTTGATTGCTTTGCGGTGCGTTTAAAATCATTTCGGATTGTGTTTGGCTTTATATAGGTCGCAGACGCGTACTGTGAAGCTCCGAGCATTTTGAAACTGGATTTAGGAGTGGGCATTATAAAGCTAAGATGAGTGTTGGACTTTTCATGTTTTATTTTCACAACATAAGTTTGATTATTTGCAGTGTGTTTAAACTCATCTCGGATTGGCTTAGTTTGGTTTTTATTTTTCATACACTGATCATACTTCGTATCTTTCAAATAATGAGTTCATTTTCCAGTTAAGTTCTATTATGTCTACCTTTTTGAAATTTTACATTTATATATATAAGAGTTTGTAATTTGTTGTTTATAACTAAAATTTATCATAGTTCTAAAAAGAATTCATGTATGAAAAGTTGATATTCAGAATCCTAAAGTATTAAGTGAAGTTTTTTCGGTGTGAGGTAGTATTACTACGATCAGAAGGGTTATTCTATCGCTTGGGTTAAATGAATAAATACTTTTTGTTAAATTACTTTTGTAATTAGTTGCAGGTTGATGTCCTAATTCTTTTGTGTTGTATTGTTTGTTGCTAGAATAACCAAAGTGTTATATATACTCCGATCTGTTACATGCTGTTTTAGTTATCAGTTAAAAACTCCTAAATAGCACTAATCATACTTCGTTTCTTACAAATCATGATTTTTTTCTAGTTGGGCTTGATGTCTACTTTTTTTTAAATTTTAGATTTAAACGCAATAGTGAAAGAATAATGGTAGTTATGCTTGGTCTCTACCAACTCTTTCCAAAGCCCATCAAATCTTAAGATAAATGGTAGTTATATGAATTCTTTAAGTTAGTATAATGATTTTGAGAACCTCCTTCCAAACAACTACAACTCTTTACTGGTCTTAGAAATTTACTCATATTTATTAAAAAATCTAGATGACCAAGCATTTGGAGAATCAGATATCCAAGTTCTATGAACTTTATCTGGGTAAAGATTTGGTGAAGAGATCAGCCGGATTTTCACTAGATCTGATTTGTTGAATGTTGATCGTCCCTTTTTTCTCCAGATCATGAGTAGAAAAGAACTTTGGTGATATGTATTTTGTTGTGTCTCCTTTGATGTAGCCTTCTTTAATCTGAGCTATGCACTCAGTGTTGTCTTCGTAGATCACAGTCGGGTGACAAGTAATAGGTTTCATACCGCATTCATTTTGGATGTGTTGAATCATAGACCGCAGCCACACACATTCTCTTCCGGTTTCATATAATGCAATTAACTCTGAATGATTTGATAATATAGCTGCCAATGTCTGCTTCATAGATCTCCATGAGATTGCGGTGTTACCATAAGTAAATACGTACCCGGTTTGTGATTTCGCCTTTTGAGGATCTGATAAGTATCCATCGTCTACATATCCGATTCAAGCTGCTTTTGCATCTCATTCATGCCCAACAAAATGAGATGTCAGTTGATTGTTAGGACTTGGGACCGAAGACTATTTTAAAATAATGATAGATGTGATACGGAGCAGTAGATAACTTTTCTCCTCACAAGCCTTTAATTTTAATTTGTCTTAAAATTAGTTAATTAATAATACTAATAATGGCAATAAGGAATGTAATAAGCTGAACCGTTGTACGTAGTAATAATTTGAACAAATCAATGAATTTTATTTGTGCCAACTATATTACACATATAATGATAAAATAGGTCATTTAATAATATTTACATATTAGTGTTATTACTTAATAATTCTAAAATGTAAATACCAATATTTCTAAAGTTATTGCCCTAAATAGGAGTAAAATAATATGAAAGTCCCAAAATAAGAGTTCTTGTTAATTTACTCCACATTTCTAATTAAGTTTAAAATAATAATTTTGTAGTATGACAAATATTAGCAAAAGAGAATTCGACGTTCTTGATTTGTCCGGTCAAGCCTTTAATTTTAATTTGTCTTAAAATTAGTTAATTAATAATACTAATAATGGCAATAAGGAATGTAATAAGTTGAACCGTTGTACGTAGTAATAATTTGAACAAATCAATGAATTTTATTTGTGCCAACTATATTACACATATAATGATAAAATAGGTCATTTAATAATATTTACATATTAGTGTTATTACTTAATAATTCTAAAATGTAAATACCAATATTTCTAAAGTTATTGCCTTAAATAGGAGTAAAATAATATGAAAGTCCCAAAATAAGAGTTCTTGTTAATTTACTCCACATTTCTAATTAAGTTTAAAATAATAATTTTGTAGTATGACAAATATTAGCAAAAGAGAATTCGACGTTCTTGATTTGTCCGGTCAAAAATATTTGGAATGGAAAGTTGATGCTTTAGCACATTTGAAGGCTAATAGTCTCGGAGACACTATTGAGGCTATTAATCAATCATCTTCCCAGGATAAAGCGAAAACTATAATTTTTCTCCGTCACCGTCTTCATGAAAGTCTCAAATCTGAATATCTTTGGTTGATGATCCAAAAGAATTATGAGACAATTTAGAGGAGAGGTATGACAATCAACAAAAGGTACTTTTGCCTAAAGCTCAGTACGACTGGATCAATTTAAGATTCCAAGATTTTAAACCAATCAGTGACTATAATTATGCTATGTTCCAAATAACATCTAAATTAAAGTTATGTGGACAAAAGTTACTGATGTTGATATATTGGAGAAAACCTTTTCTATCATGCATATTACTAATATGCTGCTACAGCAGAAATATAGAGAAAATGGTTTTAAAAAATACTCTGACTTAATATCAGTTTTACTTGTAGCTGAGCAAAATAATGACCTTTTAATGAAGAACCACAACTTGAGACCCACCGGTTCTAGTCCTTCGATTTATGGTCCATTTGGCCATAATTTAGCCATTGAATCAAATGCAACACACAGTGGCCCTCGAAGGCATTTTAAACGTGGGCATTTTAGTGGTCATAATAACAAGCCTCACCGAGGATATAAACAGGTCGACAGACCAAATTACAAGGGCAAGGGCAAACAAAAAGCTCATCAAATAAACCGCCCTCCAAAATCCTCGGGAAAGACGACTTGTTATAAGTGTGGTATGACGGGGCATTGGGCTAATAAATGTTGTACGGTTAAACACCTGGTGGAGTTATTTCAAGCTTCCATGAATCTAAATAAAGGCAAAAATGTGGAAGCCAATTATGTCAATGATAGAGTTCCACCTATGCCAAAATTTGACGTAGCCGATTTTTTTGCTGATGATGCCATTATGGATGATGCTTTTGCCATAAACCAAAATGTTACAAAATAAAATAGTAGAATCCTTCTGTTGTAAAATACTAGTTAAATTTTATGTACTTTTTCTTCTTTTATTTTGTTTTTAAATAAA